TTCATCCATGGTACCTTATGCTACCTGCTACCATCTCGTGTTCATTCGCCTTTATGTTACCGGTCGCTACCCCACCAAATGCTATTGTGTTTGCTGGTGGATATCTCAAAGTCAAGGACATGGTATGTACTGCGCTTTGGGACAATTTTAATGGTCTTTTCCTTCGTCTTTTTGCAGTGCAGTGTAAGTTAGCTAAAGTATTGCGAGGTCCGGGTACTTTGTAACATAATATAACACAAATCGTCTGGAAACTCAAAACACTCACTCCTCTACATAACGTGTCGCATCGTGATAGTACAGTTGCGAATCTGGCATGAAATACTATAACCTAAAAATTGGAAAACATCACACCCAGCTTTATTTTCTTCACAGAATAGTTTGGGTCCCAAGCCCCAAAGCCTCTCCCTAGAACTATCATAAAATTTTAGGAAAACGATTGCTTGCCGTTCCGAAGTGAGGATGGATAGCGTTAATACTCATGCTGTCTTCAATGTAGCAAGTCTCATGCACGCAAGTTTTGCCGATTGCAGGTTTCGCTCGGGCATCATAGCAGTTAAATATTTTTTTTTCTTTTCCATCATTTTCAGGCAAAAGCTGGCTTTGGAATGAATATCCTAGCCGTGATAGTGTTAGTGATTTGTATAAACACCTATGGTGTGTCCATGTTTGGTCTGGACACATTTCCCGCCTGGGCCTCAAGTGTTACCACACCAGGAATACAAGGAGAAGGACCGGGCACTAGCGCTAATGTAACGCTGCTTTGTCAAAATGTGACGTCTACATAGGGCAAATGTCAGTTACTAGTGACTTGAAAACATGTTAAACTATAGTTTCGCAAATTAGGGCTATACAAACCGCGCCACTGAAAGAATAGCTATTCTTTGTCGCATATGCTAGCCAACATAATTAGGATTTACCTGAAAGAAAACGTTCCGTTCCTTTCAGAAGGAATATTAGGGAGTCATTTTTATTTCCTAGTTTAGGCGATAGACAAAAGGCAAAATAACGGAACAATAACACAGAAAAGGTGAGAATTGCACAGCAGTAATCTTTCTTGTAATGCAGACAAGGGCGTTTGTTTGTGAATCGAGTTTAGATTGGTTGAAAGGATTGTGTTTTCAGACGCTTGCGTCAGTGAAAATAAAGGTACAGACCAACTTATATAGAATGTGCCACAGGCTGAAGGACTGGAGCTACAGATATAGCTAGATATTTTGTAATACATGTACCAAGGCATTAAACTAAGGTTCAATTTTATTTGATTTGCCATTGTGTGATCATTTACCACAAAGTACTATGAAATACTGCGATAAAGTACTATAATTTTTACTGAGGGAGTAATAACGACTCGAAGTAATCGGATGAAATTCAGGTTACTATATGAGAGGATTTGATTATTATCATTAATACCCACAGTACTGTAGGTTGCTAACATGGTCAACACTGGCTTTATCAGTTAAGAAAATGGCTTTATCAGTTAAGAAAAACAGCGTTTATATTTCTGTGTTAAAAGTACTTTATTACATGCGCGCTTCAAATCACTACAGGATCAATAGTAAGCTTGTGAATAATAGCTCAACGTTCTTTCGTAAGCCGTTCTGGACGGAAACTAAAACATATTAAAAAAAGCCTTGAAATCTGGCAAGAATCTCGAAGATTTGGAAATTCATAATGTCTCGGGATATTCGTGATTTCTTTGTTACAAAGACGAAATCCAAACTATCACTCTCGATCCTAAGTTCAAGGATCGCAGAAACACCATGATCAATGTTCTTTTATCCAGGCCTTACTACGCTTTGCTTCTGAATCAGTGCGCCATCTCTTATGCCTCGTAAAGTACATGTAATAACGATCCATATTCGTGGACTGAGACAAACACCATCACCTAAAAATTGATGGCAACTGCTGACCCCATCCTGCTTTGCTAGGACGACCGACATTGCAAGAGAACAACTAACTCTGGGACGGTCTTGATATTCTCTAGCTACCCTCAAAACGCACCGCATAATCAATTCACACCCCGCTTTTCAGTAGACTCAATGTCACTACCAAGTTTGATGGTGTTCAGTTCTGACTAACTGGCCTTTAACTGTGAAGCCCACTATTGTGTATGTAAAAGGCACAGGAGACATGTAATTTCTGCAACAAACCAAAGGCAGAAGATTACATTGACGTAATTCTTTCAACCGAAAACCTCGCAGTAGGGAAAAATTTGCTCTCATCCTNAACGCACCGCATAATCAATTCACACCCCGCTTTTCAGTAGACTCAATGTCACTACCAAGTTTGATGGTGTTCAGTTCTGACTAACTGGCCTTTAACTGTGAAGCCCACTATTGTGTATGTAAAAGGCACAGGAGACATGTAATTTCTGCAACAAACCAAAGGCAGAAGATTACATTGACGTAATTCTTTCAACCGAAAACCTCGCAGTAGGGAAAAATTTTCTCACTTCCTAAAACTAATTTAACCTCGAACAAGAAGAACTGACTGCCTCTAACTGGGGACTTTGCACGAAATCCAGATTAACATTAAAACTCATGGCAACACTTTCCCTGTGATGCCGTTTATTATTAGGCAGGGTCGCCGAGAAGTCAGAGCGCTGGACTTTCAGTAATCCGGCGGCCCAGAGTACTGGAAGTCCTATCCTGACCGGTAGCTGAATTTGTTCTTGGTATGTCCTGAGTTCAAATCCACGGCCATTCTTGTAAAATAACCACCTGGTTCGCTTTCTACCTGACCAGCTGCGATTCAGCATTCTGAACTTTGCTATGTTCCATTTTGACCACGTCCTTGATGAGACCCATAATGGTAGAGGATAATAAAATATTTTTCGTCATAATCATTATCATTATTGTATGTACATGGTGCATGATTTTCGAACCGGTACAATTCGTCCCCTAGACGCCATTTCGCTACTTTATTTTTACGTGATCCGATTTTAAAGAGTAAAAACAATGAGGGGTAGTACCTGTCTTGAAGACTTGATTAACGTAGCAACCCTTTCTGTTCCATCCACCTGGGATATTGGACTTCTTTGTATGAACAATCTGGTATTTGGTACATGAGCCCAGGTTGGTCCCAGAGCAGGTTTCGTAGAAAATGAAGACTTGGAGGAGTCAGTCACGACATTGTTAGTGATCTAAATAAAAATGGCACAAAAGACAGATTTTGATGAGATTGTTCATCCAGATTCCCAGTAGATCTTTGTGAAAACAGAATTTGTAGACAGTGAATCAGTCAATCTAATCACCTAGTCTATATAAATATTGTAATTCTGTTTCAATTCTATAATCATGGACAAAAGTCTGGGGACAGATTTCCATTAGTTTGCCCAACCCCTCCCCCCACCCCTTTTACAACGTTGAACGCGTGTATCCATAATTTTTCTAGAGTTTGAAACTTCTATAGCGTCGGGGCGGGGGAACTGCAGTACATTTGTCAAAAAGATAGCACTGCTATCGTGAAATTATCATTGCAAAAAAGAAATTATTGGGCATTTGTTCACGAAACTTTGCTGTCATTGTGAAATTGCAGTGTCAACACAAGCTACCACAAAAAAATACCGGTTACTAGTATTGATTTGATAAATGTACTGTAGGTTAGCTGACGGTACATGACCAAAAACGAAACGTACAAAGTGACGTATTAATAAAAACGGACTCGGAACTAAAAGTTGCTTAGACTCTTTGGGATTTTCTTGGCAGATTAATAACGATTTCTCTTCCCTATGGATAATTCAAGCGGGGAAACAAAAAAAGATAGGTTTTATCCTCTCTTGGTTTTATCCTTTCTTGTCATATCTATTGTTGCCCCATTAGTACAGCTGGGTTGAAAGCACACCGGTCTGTCAATCTGTCGTACTGTACTCTCGCTCTTACCCCTGAAAAGCACCAAAGAGAGTGGATAATAACAAGGAATCCTCTCTTGACGAAACAAATTGCGACACTCAAAATGCGTTTGAAGGTCACTGAATAACTGGACTCACTTTCAAGCATGACAAATCTTAAAAATAACAATTTAGGTAGGGAGATACATGTGAAGTTTTTTTCATTGTTAACACAAAACTGATCTAACAAACTGTCATACTTACCACAACTGCAACTGAATGCTCGACAGCCAGAGACTTTAAGATTCTAGAAAGATTCACCATCAAGGAATGACCTGAGATAAGACAGAATCACAATTAGATGGAGTCCAGGGACAGGTTTAAAATACTTGCATCAAATAACGATGTAGAGCGTGTAAATGCAGTTGTGGTGGTGTGGTGGTACGGTAGTGAAATCGGTTGCAGTGGCAGTAGCAGTAGTGGCAGGGATAGTACAGTGTAGTAGCATTATAGTGCACAAAGTATGTGTTTATGTAAAAATGACTATAATAAGAAACAATCAAGCCCTGATCACATAAATATTGAAGTCCTCCTCCAGACAATAACATTACCGCTACTTAAACATAATTTTTAAAAAATAAGTAATTTACATGTACATTGTACCTGTTTCAAATTTTAGGCTAAATAGCTGTATATGGGGAGTCTAACTGGTAAATTTTAGCCGTTTAGAATGAGTTCTTTGAAACTGTACGGTTTTACTATATTATTTGTTAGTAGTCAAGACTGAATAACTTGGGCACAAGGGCTGCCCTTTGACACTTGCTTCTAGTCCACTGCGTACCTGCATAATGTTTCAGCCAAAACAGATTTATTTCTAAAAGATAATGTTATTACCATGAATTTGTTGGCCACCCAGAATGGGGGACACCACAGCTGCAACTGAGTCCACTATTATCATCCTTAGATGCTTCATTTCATCATCATCTTCCTCAGTCTAGAAAAGCATAACATTAAATTAAAAATAATGACCTTAATGATTAATAATGATGAACCACGCGAAGGTCTAGCCGCTTGCAGTGCAAAGGGAGTACCTTCATTTCTCAGTTATTTTACTGAAGACCTTGAGTATTGGTCCGGTCCAGGGAATCAAACCCATGACCTTCCACTCCGCAGTCAAGTGCTCTACCGACTAAGCTAATGCTGCTGCAGTAAGAGTTATGATTTACAGAGGTGTAAGTTTGTTAAAATCACAAATGCTAAGAATTTTCACACAAAGTACAAATTTCATCCATTAAAATACGATTTCAGTGGCAATATAACACCACAGACTTTTATTCGCAGGGTAAGACACAGTTCTCTGTAACTAACCCAGATAGCCTACAAGCAATGATATAGTTAAACATTTGAGAGAATTGCTTTCTCTAAATATCTATTGCTTAACATCAGTAATTATACATACAGGATTAAATACAGGATTAGCTCAGTCAGTAGTTCTAACGCTTGACTACAGAGTGGGAGGTCGTGGTTTTGATTCCCACAGCCGGACAGGGTCTTAAAATAACCGAGAAATGAATTAGGTATAAATTGTCTTTGCCCTGGAAAAGGCTGGACCTNTACATACAGGATTAAATACAGGATTAGCTCAGTCAGTAGTTCTAACGCTTGACTACAGAGTGGGAGGTCGTGGTTTTGATTCCCACAGCCGGACAGGGTCTTAAAATAACCGAGAAATGAATTAGGTATAAATTGTCTTTGCCCTGGAAAAGGCTGGACCTTTGTGTGGCTTGGATGACCACATGAAATGGCAATCCTGATAGTCTCCTCAATTGGTAACTTTCATGCTAGATACATTGACAACGTCCTGTTAGCGTATAATTACGACAAGCATTATGGCCTTGAAACAGCAACATAAGATAGCTGAAATGGTGACAAACGACACAAAGATGGGTTGAAACTGTGACAGCGACAAAAAAACCGCAAATACATTAGTAAATACTGACGGCAACATGGCTTCCCGGCCTCAATACATGTACAAGAAAAAAAGAGGTTTTGAAATTCAGACTATAACCCCACATAGAGGGCCTCTTTGACACTCAAATAAAGAACATTTTTTTCAATTTTTTTACCCCATCATATTTTGAATTCTTACATTTAGCTTTTGTCTTACACCTTCAAGAACATCCACTACTGAGAATATGTCGAAGGCTTGAATAACTGATATTCTGGACAATATGTCACACACTTCCTGAAAAAGAAGCAAAACACATTGATCAACAGAAAAGCTAACTGCATGGGGCAACTAGTTTATCCCTTACCCACCTTCACCTGGGTTGAAGGAATGAATGAAGCAAAACTAGACTTTGTAAGCAGTGTGGGGTGTTCTAACCAAAAAAATCTTTCATGTGGGAAGTTGGGATATTTTCTGGAAGAACACATGACCACAGCCAGAATGGCTGCTGATTAAATGATGAATGTAAACCCTAGAGAATTACACCATGAAGTAAAAACCAATTAAAATGCATTCTTATTTTCTTCAAGACTTCATGGCTTGTGACCAAATTCCTCAGAGTAATCCATACTTATACCTGATCCTCTAAAGAACTGTTCCACCCTTGTAACATCTCTGTGATCCTGGTTCCACTCATTGAGCCACCTGTGTCTACATACAGAACATTCTTTTTTGTTTTCATTGCAGTTGACAAGGCAATATTCATACAGATCTAAAAAAACAAAACGAAACAAAACAAAACAATAGAAATTATCAGTTTACTTACAGAAAAAATCCAAATTCAAAATTTGACACTTGAGTCATGTTGATTGTAAAATTATTTTTCTAAAATAAGGTTTGCAAAGAGGTGTGTTTTGAATGGTCACATCACAGGAATGTGATTATTTATTTTTGTCTGGAGATTTACCTGAGATTTTCCTGCACCTGCTGCTCCAACAATTTCAGTCAGTTCTCCAGAGTACAACCCTCCATCAAGGAGTTCATCTAAACTAAAGAAAAGACAACCAACTAAATTCACTTATACTATGACCTTACCTTTACATTTTTTGTAGTGATGCCTACATGTGTAACATTGGCTGATTAATGACTCTAATTTGATTTTTTTAAATTCACGTAAGTTATAACCCCATCCTAAGACCATACACCCTTGCCCCCCTGATCCCCAAACTCCCTGAGGTACACTTAAGGCCTAATTGTATTTCAAGAAAACATTAACTAGTGTTGAAAACCTATTATAATACAAACAATAATTTCTTTTTAATACAGCAATTTAATTTCATCTATAAAATAATAACAGACAGCCTTACAGCACAATGATAATCAGAAATGGTCCTGACATTTAAAAATATACAGTACTTACCTATCACAACCTGTTCAAACAAAAGTAAACCATCATTAGAAGTAGAAATTGCTGGTTCCAGAAAATATCCATACCCAACCAGTCCCTACTCAGGATTTTTAGAAACTTTCAATGGGAGAGGAGGGGTCTCACCATCAAATTATGAAAACCGTGAACACACACTATTTTTATTAAAACATGAAAACATATATAGTACTTACTGAAAATAACAAACCAGCATTATGTACAATAGGTTAAAGAACTCTTAGCTAACTGTTTCTCTAGCTAAACAGGTGATCTGGTTGGCTTTACAGGGGTGAGTCCTTAATAAAAAGAGAAATTATCTGCATCGCTCATTACTGTCACTTACAGCTGGGAGCATTGGGTTTCCCCCAGCTTCTAAGCGTAACTTCCAGTGGCTACTTTCATTTTTAACGAGAGAAAAATTGAACAAAAAGAACTTCCTGGCTGTTCAATTTCCCACCTACTAATTGCATATACCCACAAAGTTGAAATCTTGGTGAAAGCCCTGAACTCTGTTGTTACCTGATGAGATGATACAAAATCTAGACATCATATCATCATAAAAGTCACTTCCATTAAGTGTAAATGCAGCCATCTGAACAATGATAGTTTGTTGAAGGGAAGAGAGTACCTAAGAAGGAATCACAAACAAATCTATAACCTTGTTTTCTTATAATACTGTAACTACAGCAATTCAATCTGCCAACAAATGCACTTATTTTCCAAAGGGTAAAATATGACTTTGTTAAAACTTACCTACATTCATGGAAACATTTTTTTTTACAAGAAAATAAGCAGCACATGTATATTGCACATTAATTTTCATTTTAAAAACTCCAGAATTACTGGTGTATGGAAATGTAAAGCTGTTCCATCATCTGTCTCTAAGTGAAATACAGACTAACTGAACACATGTATACATTCAATTTGTAAGAAAAAAAATTAACGTGTTATTGTAATTGTGTGAACAATCATTTAAATTAAAATAGTATAGTTTTTAATAATGGCTGGCAGAAGAGTTATTAAGATACCCTATTAATTCAACTTCCTAAATTCAACACTGTGACTACTTGACACTAAAAATGCCTCCTGTGGGAGAGTGGGTACATTATTTTCTTACGTCACTCACTCAGTCGTGGTGTGTGCAACTGCACCAATTGATATCAATAATATTAAAGGATGTTTAATATCACCATACCATTTCAGGAACTGAAATCTTCTGAGCTAATCTCTCAACATTACAGGATATGAAATCAGCAACTGAAAGGTAAGTTAAGAAAATTGTACACATGTTTATAGAATATCAGCCTAGTCCCTAGGCGTTCTCTCTTGATCCGTTGTCTGCACGAAGTCTGGGAGAGAGCGGGCCAGAGAACGCTCGGCAAGTATCTCTCAGTGACGTCACAGCTCACGGTAGAGTCCAGGATTGACCAAGCTAAGAATGCCTAGGGACTAGTCTGATAGAATATATAATTATTCTCTCAGTGGGGCCCTCCACAAACAATACCAATAATACTACTGCAGGGGTTTCAATAATTTTTTTAACAAGCAGTTGCCAATGGTAAAATAGGCAGCAGTGACAAGAAAAAGCACTGTTAAGCCCCTTTGCCCTAGTCAGGGGCGGATACAGGATTTTTTTTAGGAGGGGGTGCACTCGTCTCTTGCTCTACTTCAACACCAATAAACCACATAGTTCTTTTTTTTTTTGGCAGAATACTAGTTGTATTAGAAAACCGCAGGTCATCTCAGGGAGGGGTGCGCACCCCCTGCACCCTCCCCCTAGATCCGCCCCTGCTAGTGGGGTCTGGGGGCCTGCTCTCCCTGGAAAATTTGAAATCTTACTTATTCCCAGTGCTCTGGGCATCAAAAAGAGTGCTGTTTATAACAATATTTATTGATCACTAAACACGTTATCCACCAGCATATTTTATGGATTCAGACGTTAGTCTTCGATCAGCGGATAATTTTTTACATACCGGTAATCAATCCTGAACAAATAATACTCTTATTCCTGCCAGTTGACAAAGACTGGTTCCTGTCAAAGTTCTAGAAAAATCTCCTAAATACACTAAGATTTGTCTTCTGTGTTGTTCAGCTTTCGTCATCTAGACACCATGTTGCTTTTCCATGACACTGAGGCTTCATAGTTCAGTTTTTAACTGCACCGCTAGCCATTGCATTTCAAGTTGTCATTGTTGATGTTGATGTTGTTGTTTGTTTCTCTTTTTGTTTTTCTCTTGAACTTTATTCACTTTACTTATTTATTTCTAGAAATCTTATAAATACAATCTGAACAGATGGCGGTGAGAGGCATTACAGGTGGTGGAAGACTGCTGGTAACTGGCTTTTATTGAAACCTCTGACTACTGGGAGACTTTTTTTTTTTAATGCAAGTAAAACACACACAGAAAAGAAAAAAAAAACTATCTCCCCACCATCTTAGAGATCCTGCTTCCCCCCCCCCTTCTTCTCCCTTCTCCCATACCCCCCCCCCCTTTTTCCCGGGTCCCCCCCCCCCCTCCCCCCCCCCCTTTTCAGGGACTCCACCGAGTTGATGTTTTAATAATTTAAAAAACTTTATTAAAAAATTAATACATTTTTTTTTTAAAAAAAAAAAAAAAACAAAAAAAAAAAAAAAAAAAAACTACAGAAAAAAAAAAGAAAAAAAAAAAAAAAAAAAAAAAAACAAATAGCGAATTTACACACTTACATGACAATATACTTACAAATATTAAAATACGTTACAGCAGTGCTAATTTCATATATTACTGTACTTAGTATGATCTATAATAATTATTAATTTTTACATTTTTTTTTTCTTTCTTTGGGGTGAAAGTAATATAAATATTCATGGTAGGTGCACATATTACTATTTATGTTTTTGGAGTAAGGGGACAAGACCCAGCAAGAAAAAGAAAAGTTTCCATTTTTTTGCATTGCGCGTTGTCTTTTTTTCTAATTGGTATATATGTCTCAGATAAAACAAGAAATTGTTGTGAATTGGGAAACATTCTTTTGATCTGCATATCCAGATAAAGTTCTTAGCTATAAGACAACAGAAGTTTATATGGAGCTTAAAGGCAGAGCTGTCTGGCGTTAGGCCCAAAGTGGTAGTCATGTCTAAGTAACTGCCTGGTTGGAGGATCTGGCACGACTGAAGCCATATCGAGAAATTATCCCAAAAAATTTTTGGTTTTTTGGCATTTTCAAAATAGATGCGTCAAATCCTTTTTCTCGTCATGGCAAAAAGTACATTTTCCGTCCTCTTTAACTCCTATTTTTCGCAGATAGCTGTTAGTTGGTAAACGTCTGTGTAAAAATCTGAAATTAAAATCAGTTAGTTTTGAGCTCGTTGTACAAGTGTTTGCTGCTTGAAAAACGTTTCTCCAGTCAACATTTTTATCGGTTGAAGAGTGGATGTCTTTATGCCATTTGTCTATACAAGATATGGGTTTTTCATTCTTATTTGCTATTAGTTGCTTGTAAGCAATAATTCTAGATTATTTTTGGCTTTTGAGAAATGTGTTAAGAGGACTTTCATACTGCTGATGTGTTCTCGGGATTTATCGTTGTAAAGATTTCACGGCTGAGACGATTCCGAAAACATTAAGGGTTTTACTCAAATGTTATATCTGTTCTGAAAATGGTCGAGGGAAAAAAAAGTTGAGAGAATTCTCGTCCATTAGATGTTTAACTTTTGTTATATCCTTGTTAAGCCAATTATTGCAGAAAACTGGTACATTATTCATTCTTATTAATGAATTTTGTAGCAGAGATAGAGATAGAAAATGATCTTTTGATACTACTTTCCTCTCGAAGAAAGTGTCAGACCAAATTTCTACAATTTCTTTGATAAAAGGGTCTTCTATCTTTAGCTTATCAATATCCTTTCTGTTAAGATTTCTTAATTCGAAAAAAAGACTTCCCCCATATTTTCCCAGCACCAGATTAAAGAAGTTTTTCCATTTGCCACGGTTTCCTGAATCTAGATACTTTTTAATCCACGTAGCCTTGAGTGATTTGTTAAAAGAGGCAATATCAATCATTTTTAGTCCTCCCTCAGGGTAGTCATTGATCATGATCGAGTGTTTAATTTTATTCTTTTTGCCGTTCCATAAGAAATTGAAAAAAAGCTTGTTGATCTCTTTTATTGCTTGGTGATTCGTTTGCAAAGGTGTGAGTATATAGACCAGTTGGGATGCTACAAGGCTTTTTAGTACTGTTATTTTCCCTATCAAGCTAAGTCTTCTAAATTTCCAGCATCCCAAGACTACTGGGAGACTTGGCCCTCAGTCAGTCTTCCAGTACCAACTTTGAAAGTAAAAACCATAAATCCTACAGCCTCCACATGTATACTCCTCCAAAATAAGGAAAAGTTTGCACATTACAAAGGCAAAAGAATCAACCACTTTGTCAAGGCTGGAAACTAGCCATTTCAAACACTCTGGAACGTAAAGGAGTTGCAACACCCAGCGGTGTACTCCTTCAAATACGCTAACTACTGAAAATACATAGAGTGAACAGCTCTAGAAATGGGAAGACAAAATCTGGGACCAGTTTTTTAGACGTTGGCTGGCACTATCAACGGGATAACTTTTTATGCAAAGGATAAATATAAGGAAAACCAATTGCGATATGAAGTGGATAGAGATTTATTCAGTGGATAGCTTTAATCACCTTACGAACAACTAGGACATGGCCCCATTTGTTTGAAAGGTGGATAGCGTGATCCATCTTTTGAACAACTGGAACCTGGACTCCAAAGAGGGAGAGGAAGCCCCAAAAAGCGAAGCGACTCCAAAATACCCTTATCCAGAGGACAGAGCGTACAATGTATACTATTAAAAAACCTTTTCAGGAAGGCCAAGCTAAGGGAAAAGGCTAGGGCTGAAACAAACACAGACTCACCAGTTTTGACTCCATACTCCTGAAGTGCTTTAAGATGACTGGGTTGTAAAGAACCACAAGACAGTGACAAAAGACGATGCATACTACTGTAGGTACCGACCTGAGGTCACTATGAATGTTGTTTTTTAACGTCCTGTTAATACGCCGCCTCACCTCTAAATCCTTGCCTTTACACAGTATTAGAACTAGGTCACGATAGGTGCAATCAACCAGCTTCCATCTTGGTTCTCAAAGGAAAAATATGCCAGAACAATTATTGATAGGGGTATCAGTCTGGAGTAAGCAAGAGAAGAAGAGCGAAAAACGCCAGGCACTTTTCACGAAGGGCTTTGTGGAGGTCTGGAACTAGACTCCAGTTGCGCATGCTATCTAGCATTTTTGTAGTTTTTAAAGTGGCTCGCACCAGTTGTCACCTTTTACAAAATTTTAACTTTAAAAGGACAGAACAAAACATCAAGCCCAAGCCAGAGCAGCACCTTTGTAGCCTAAGACCAGGCTCGGCATTGTGGGAAAAAGGAGAAAAAAATCTGCGTTGGCGAAAAGGAAGTCTGGAGAGGGGAGTAAGCCGCCCTTTCCCCCTCCCCAGGATACCGCTCGCCGATATTTTTCCTATTTGACCCGTTTGTTGCCTTTTTTCCCCACTGCGGAGCCTGGTCCCACGCTACACTTTTGAAGAGTAGGATGATAAAATGAGTAATTCCACTGATTAAGGGACCCAAAACGTTTGGAAAGGATAACTTCAACCTAAACACGGCACTTTTGTTCATGATTTCTTTATTATGTTTAATGAACATTTTTGTTACTGATAAAATGAGTTCTTGGCTCTAGCCTGCGAATACAGCCGTTTCTTCTAGCTCCTCGCCCGCAGGGACGTTTCGCCAGGAGGAACGTCTGGGACTGACTGACTCGGGTTTTTTCAGGGTCAGTACCTCCCAAGTTTGAGCATAAACTACGTCGCCATTAACAACAATTTGGAATAATTACCAACACAGCTGTATTAGATAAAGATAAAAAATTGTTATGATCAGGGTTAAAATGACGTCAGAGTTACCATGGCAACAAAATGACGCCTTTTCCTATTTTACTTATCTCGTACCCAGATCTCACTCTGTTTTACACTGGGTACGAGATTACTATTTTACTCGCAGCCGTATTTCTCGGCACTGGGAACTGTTCTTCCAAAATTGTTCACGGTAGCTTTTTCCTTCAAGCGACTGACATGTGAGCACTCTGATTACCGTACTAACAGCACTACTCACTTAAGAAGGCATGCGAAACGCCAACACAACGTGTTAGATTTACATGTAAAGCGCTAGAAACATGAGCAATTGCTAGTATTCCCGCGGAGAATCGGATTTGTTCCTCTCGATTAAAAACAGGAGTTCAAGTTTGTGTCATTGTCGTCGAAATGTAAGAGGTTGATGGAGCGAATTTTTTAAATAATGGGAAGGAAAAAATTAAGGTTAAATTTGCACGTTGGGGAGACAAAGATAACATTGTTGATGAGTCCTGATTATGCATTGTGAACCTCAAGGACACATTTTATACAAGCCAGAGGGCGCCACCGACAGACAGAACAGGATGTAAATAAACAAAACTTTACAGATTGTTTATGGTTTTGTCTTCATTGTGGTCTTTTCGACTTCTTCGGCAAATGGATAAATGATAATTTTTCTTTATAACATATAAAGTGCATAAAAGAAAGGAAAACACTCGAATGCATTTGCCAAAATTTGCCGCTTGTGATGTCATCAGCTTTGACATCGTCTACCTCGCACAAAAACCTTGAAGCTTTATATTAAAGCACTATATGTTATTTTTGGAACTTTTTTAAGCATACCTTTAACGCTTTTATTTCACTTCACTGAAGTAAACCGGTGTGAAAAAGAAAATGCAAGTGATAACTCAAGTGGTACCGTTGCAAACAGAAGTGTAAGACGCGGGGCCTACGGCTAGACAAGAGAGACTAGAAGGTCAGCCATTTGCATATGTGTAACAAAGGCAGCACGAAAAGAAGCGGCCGTCTGTTTAGCACAGAAGATTTATTCATGTTTATTTGCAGAGAAAGGTTTATTCCGACATGACTGTTCCTACTTTTCAGTAAAAAGAGTATTCCACGTTAGAAAGTTGGTTTTTATAAAAACACACACACACTTCTAGATTGTAAAAAACAGGTTTTACATGTACCCCATTTTATGATTATATTTATAGTTACGTGTCGAGAAGCACAAGAAGTTCCTCATTACCTTCAAATAGAATTGATCAACGTCTAAATTTAAAAATAACTTCAGTGTTTCCTTTATTATTGTAAAATGTATATTTTTTTCGCGTTACCATCGGATACTAAAATCCTCCCATCTGGAGTTGCAGCTATCCCGACGGGGCACTGTAGGTTAGTGGCAGTTTTTCCAGCGAATGAACCTTCCATTGTAAACTGTACAATTCTTTTATTGTTATAGTCACAAACAAGAATGTTGTGGTGATTGCCACGTTTCTCAACACACAAAGCCATAGGCCAGTTCAACTGTCCATCACCTTTGCCTTGTGCTCCAATCTTACGGAAACATTTTCCTGAACTGTCGAATATTTTTAAGCAGTGGTTCCGAGCGTCAGAAACGATGAACGTGTTTTCTTGAAATGCACATCCAATGGGACACTTCAGAGTTCCCAGACCAAAACTGAACACTTGTTTACCTTCTTTAGTAAAAACCTGTATTTCTGGTTTGTTGATGTCGGCTACAACAACGCGTTCTTGACCATCCAAACAAACATCCACTGGATACTGAAACTCGCCCACTCCTTTCCCTTCCTTTCCAAAAACTTTCACTCCCTCTCCCGTGTGTACGTTGAACTGTTGAATGCGGTGATTAGACTGCTCTGCAACTAGAATTTGGCTGTCGTTAATAAATGTTATGCCAGATGGAATGTTAAGTTGCCCAATATTCGTTCCTTTACAGCCAAATTTTCGCAGATAATTTCCTCCTTTATCGAATAACAGAATACAATGACCATCACAGTCAGCTACTGCAATCAGCCCTTTGCTGTTCACAGCGATTCCACTTGGACTTTGAACGGTTTCTCCTTTCAAATCCAACTCTCCCACAACTTTAAGTCGTCGTTCCTTCACCTGAATATGTCCAGTGAAAATATTCTTAGGACTGTGATTGCCGGCATTTACAGTAACTTGAAAGTGGTAACTGCCAGGCGCCTTAGGGGTGAACGTGACCAGGGAATATGCATCTCCTTTTCTGCAAGTCACCAAACTTTCAACTTTTTCAGCTGGTTCTATGCCAACGTCGAGGCAAAATTTCATTTGTGCTTGACTTATCACAACTGGAGAAACGATCCGTAATTCTGCTTGCACACCAGCTTGGAATTCATGTTCCATTCCTTCTACAACAGGTTCACTGGTTGCTATAACGCCGAGAGTCAAATTCTCTGGTTCAAAAGTGCAAATAAACTTGGCAAATGAAGAAACTGAAAGTGCTGCAACTGGAGTCTCTTTTAGGTCTTTAAATCGCTTGTTCAAAGATTTATTGTTTTGTAAAATATCAGCACCGGAGCTTCTTTGAATAAGATTTTCGGCGAAATCAATTGCTTGGTCGATCTGCTTCGCCAGAGACTGCACTTCTTTCATCAAAGAGTTTATTTTCTCTGTTCTCGATACACGTGTGTTCTCGAGAGCTGTAATAATTTCCTGTTCGCGTTCTCGAACCTTCAAGATGATATTCTCCGCTGTTCGTGAAACTTCCTGTTTAGCGCTGGAAATGTTAGTTTCCAGGGTAAGAATTGTTTTCTCAAATTCACATATTACATTATTGCAAAATTTTCCCTTTTCTTTCATCAGCTCCGTTCCTGCCATGATTTTAGCTTTCTCGTGATCAGCTGCTTTATCAAGTGGATCAATAGCATGATTCCTGTGATCCGTGACCACGCAAACCTGACAAACACAAGTTTGACAATCTAGGCAAAAAAACCGTGTTACTTCTCGCTCGTGGTACTGCTGAGAGCAAAACGACTGCCGTTTCAATAAAGCTTCGTAGTCTTCAGCTTGAAAATGCTTGATCGNGCACCGGAGCTTCTTTGAATAAGATTTTCGGCGAAATCAATTGCTTGGTCGATCTGCTTCGCCAGAGACTGCACTTCTTTCATCAAAGAGTTTATTTTCTCTGTTCTCGATACACGTGTGTTCTCGAGAGCTGTAATAATTTCCTGTTCGCGTTCTCGAACCTTCAAGATGATATTCTCCGCTGTTCGTGAAACTTCCTGTTTAGCGCTGGAAATGTTAGTTTCCAGGGTAAGAATTGTTTTCTCAAATTCACATATTACATTATTGCAAAATTTTCCCTTTTCTTTCATCAGCTCCGTTCCTGCCATGATTTTAGCTTTCTCGTGATCAGCTGCTTTATCAAGTGGATCAATAGCATGATTCCTGTGATCCGTGACCACGCAAACCTGACAAACACAAGTTTGACAATCTAGGCAAAAAAACCGTGTTACTTCTCGCTCGTGGTACTGCTGAGAGCAAAACGACTGCCGTTTCAATAAAGCTTCGTAGTCTTCAGCTTGAAAATGCTTGATCGGTCTGACTTTGTGGCCTTCAAAAGCCACATTTCTAAGTAGTTCATGTGCATTCACGCAGTCAGGGCACAAGAATTTTCCGCAACCAAAACAGAAACTCGTCTCAGCACTTTTTTTCTTGCAGCTGCCGCAACTGATCTCACTTCCATCGCGGCTTTTTAGTACAGCGAGAAGTCCTAACAGACTATTCTGCAGAAAACCGGTCGGTAATTGATCGAAGCTTTCAGGGGCGCCAACTTGTGCTTGGCACTCGGGGCAGCGAAACTGCCCTTGTCGCTGAGTTTTCAGAGCGTGTCCCTTCAAACATTCGCAGCAAAATGTGTGGAGACAGGTGATTGTCTTGGGTTCGGTGAAGGTATCCAAACAAATCGAGCATGTAACGTGTTCTTTAAGGTTTTTTAAAAGAGATTCCATTGTAAATTTTCACCGTATAGGGCAAAATGACTGACGTGCTTTAGTAAAACACAATCAAATGTTATTTTTGATTTCCGAGAAACTTGAATAAGTATAATTTGCATTCGTGCTTATTTAGTAGCCAACCAGAGGGGCGTTAGATTAACCCTCTGACCTCGGATCATTATGTTTGTTTTTCACATCAAATATTATTGTCGTTCTACGCTTATAAAATGTGACAGAGTTAATTTTGGTGTTTTAAATATTTTTTTTAACAGTATTGAATTTCTGTTTGTTAAAAATCGTAAAGTAAATTAAGTTTCAGTTTTATTTCTGTCGGATATTGCATTTAAAGCGATCTACAAATAGCATATTCCTTTCTTGTAAGGAAAGTCTTTTCACACGCAGCGAGGGAATTGCAACAAGTTTAAGCTTTTCCCGTGGGGACCGTGGGATGGCATTGTTTCTGCAGCTCTCGCAAAGGCTAACAACATCATCGAATACTGTATTTAGGTACTTATTCGGCGTAGATATAGGGCTAATAACTCTAAGCAATAATTTTGTGTTGTTCAATCGACTTTCAAATCTGTTCGCCAGACGACCTGAAATGACACCTCTCCTCCTCGCAAAAATCGGCCCCACTGAAAGGGGAATGGGACACGCAAAGCTTTCTGGGAGTTCCGTCCGCCATTTTGTCTTTTTGCTGGACAGTCGAGGCGGCCTCCCTTTCTTGATTGGGCGTTGTACTCACGGGCAGCCCAGTATTTATGCTGAGCAATCAAATCATTCACATTTAATGATTATAATGTAGGAGCCAATAGATAGTCATAGGCTACTGTATAATGGAATTGGAATCTGAAAAAAAAGAGAGTCGTTAGATTATTGTCTCTTGGAAACTAACGATCGTCGCGGGAAACAGACCACGTTTGATATATTAAAATTCTAACATGACTCCGAGGCTTTCTGGTCATTTGCTATATTTGGTTTTGTTTTCTTTGTGCTCAAGTCTCTTCTGGGAATTATGAGATAATGGAGTCGAGAAGAATTTGCAATTTTGACCCTAAAGCCTCGGAGTCATCTGGAATTTTAATACATCGAACGTGGGCTATTGTCTTGCCGCACTGGTTTGGTTGCCATGGTGATTTATCGTTTGTCTGGTTGACTTTATTCTGTCTGTCATTTATCTTGAATCCGGATTCTGATTTTTCTAGGAAAAACGCATCTCAGTTTTCATATTAGTGAATCTTTCTACGTAAAAGTTTCACCACACGCTAATTTGCACATGAACTTTATCAGAATTATTTTATTAGAACATACTAATCAATACTTCTGTTGGCATTGTTTGTTTTAGTGAACAGGGTATCCCATGCATAATGTACTTATGAATATCAGCAGCCATGGGGAGTGACCCCGGGGAACTCCCGCCATTTGCACAACGACGTTTACAAATCCCCCAACCCAAGAAAAGTAATTCTCCACACGAGTATAAAAAGTTACCATTGTCCCTCCCCCCGGATACATTAGTATGCTATTTTTGAGCGACAGTGGTGTCAAGTGAAGCCTCAAGTCACAAAGTGCAAAATTTCAAGGGACTTCAAAATTGTAATAACATTTTCAACTTGCTATGATAATACTCAGAATACTTCTTATAGAGTGGTGATCACTTAAGGGTATAAAAATATTAGCTAATATATTGCACTTGTAGTCTCCTGCAAGTGGTGAAGTTCAGCTAACTTTGTAAGTCATGGAATTGGAAGGACTGTGTCCTAGTTAAAGGCAAATGGAATTCATTTTGAATATTATCTAGAATGTGTTTTATTATTTGGCAACTGGTTAACATGGTTATAACCGGGTAAGAAAGGAACAAAGTACTGGCATATTACCTCTACAACAAAGAAAATACTTAAAAGCAACAGGGGCTCATTTCCTGTGTTTGTTTCGAAGATGAATTTTAAAGTTTGGCGTACATTTGTCGTAAAACAACGAACCGAACACTACTTATACATACCTATACTATGGATCTTAAAAATGCATATCGCTCAACATTTCAAAGGTTATTTACATATTTGCGGTTTGCTAAATAAAACACAGTTTTTTCATGTATTTCTTTTATGATTATAGTCACGGATCATGCATGAAACAAAGAATCTCCTCTTCATTTCGTACTATTGGAAATCATTGATTGGTATGTCTAACTTTAAAAATCATTTAACGGTCATTTTTTTAACGAAGGATGTATATTTTTTTCGCGCTAGTATCGGATACTAAAATCCTTCCATCTGGAGTTGTAGCTATCCCAACGGGGCCTTGTAGTTTAGCGACAGTTTTACCAGTGAAAAAACCCTCCATTGTAAACTGTACTATTCTCTGATTGTTAAAGTCACAAACAAGTATGTTGTGTTGATTTCCACTTCTTATTATGCAAAAACCCCTGGGCCAATCCAGCTTTCCTTCACCTTTGCCTTGTGCTCCAATCTTACGGAGAAACTTCCCTGAACTGTTGAATATCTTGATGCATTGATTGTCAGAGTTAGTAACAATAAACGTGTTTTGGTGAGAAATACATTTTGTGGGAAAACTTGTTCGAAAACTTAACACTGGCTCGCCTTCTTTTGTGAAAACTTGTATTTTGCTGTTGACGCAGTCTGTCACAACAACGCGTCCATCACTATCCATAGAAACACTAATTGGATTCTCTCCTTCTCCAGCCTTTCCAAAAGCTTCCATTACTTCCCCTGTATGAACATTAAACTGCTGAATGCAGTGATTTATCTGATCTGCTACTAGAATCACGCTATCATTGATAAATGTTAAGCAGGATGGCGTACCAAGTTGCCCAATATCCGTTCCTCCAAATTTTCGTAGATAATTTCCTGCTTTATCGAATAAAAGAATACACTGACCATCACAGTCAGCTACTGCAATCAGCCCTTTGCTGTTCACAGCGATTCCACTTGGACTTTGAACGGTTTCTCCTTTCAAATCCAACTCTCCCACAACTTTAAGTCGTCGTTCCTTCACCTGAATATGTTCAGTGAAAATACTCTTAGGACTGTGATTGCCGACATTTACAGTTACTTGAAAGTGGTAATTGCCAGGCATCTTAGGTGTAAAAAGGACATGATAATTTCCATCTTCTTGTTCACAAGTCACCAAACTACCCACTTTTTTGACAGGTTCTATAGCAACGTCAACGATAAATTTCCCTTGTGCTTCCCTCGTCAGTTTCGGATAAACGATCAATTCTGCTTCCACACCCGCTTGGAAATCTTGTTTCAGTCCTTCTACAACTGGCTCAGTAGTTGCTATGAAACCTAGCGTCACTGGTTCGGAGGCGGAAAAGAACTTCACAAATGAAGAAACTGCGGGAAGAGTTGGAACCACGGTATTGTTAAGATTTACAAGATCGTCAAATCGTTTTTCCAACGACTTCTTGCTTTGCAAAATATCGGAGCTAGAGCTTCTTTGAACCAGATATTCGGCAAACTCGATTGCTTGGTTGATTTGCTTCGCCAACGACTGCACTTCTGTCTTTAAAGAGTTCAATTTCTCAGTTCTAGACACGCGTGTGTTCTCGAGAGCGGTAATAGCCTCTCTCTCTCGTTCTCGAACCTTCGTGATGATTTGCTCGGCTGTCTCGGAAACTTCGCGTTTAGCGGTAGAGATGTTGGTCTCCAGACTAAGAATTGTTTCCTCAAATTCCCGAATCACATTACTGCAAATGTTTCCCTTTCCTTTCATCAGCTCCGTTCCTGCCATGATTTTAGCTTTCTCGTGATCAGCTGCTTTATCAAGTGGATCAATAGCATGATTCCTGTGATCCGTGACCACGCAAACCTGACAAACACAAGTTTGACAATCTAGGCAAAAAAACCGTGTTACTTCTCGCTCGTGGTACTGCTGAGAGCAAAACGACTGCCGTTTCAATAAAGCTTCGTAGTCTTCAGCTTGAAAATGCTTGATCGCTCTTACCTTGTGGCCGTCAAAAGCCACATTTCTAAGTAGTTCATGTGCGTTTACACAGTCAGGGCACAAGAATTTTCCGCAATTGAAACAGAAACTTGTCTCAGCACTTTTTTTCCTGCAGCTACCGCAACTGATCTCACTTCCATCGCCACTTTGTTGTACAGCGAGAAGTCCTAACAGACTGTTCTGCAGAAAACCGGTCGGTAGTTGATCGAAGCGTCCAGGGACGCCAACTTGTGCTTGGCACTCGGGGCAGCGAAACTTTCCTTCTCGCTGAGTAGTCAGAGCGTGTCTCTTCAAACATTCGCAGCAAAATGTGTGGAGACAGGCGATTGTCTTGGGTTCGGTGAAGGTATCCAAACAAATCGAGCATGTAACGTGTTCTTTAAGGTTTTTCAAGAGAGATTCCATTATATACAGTGTATCTGCACCATATAGATTGCGGAATAACTGAAGCACTTTTGTAAAACACACCCAGATGTAAAAGCTTGAACCAGTGTTTTGATTGTTTCGTGCTTATTTTAGCAGCCAACCAGGGAGACATTAGATTAACATCTGTATTTTTTTCAACAGAAATTTGTCACATGTCAGGTCACGTGACTTGACTGCTTCTGGATACATTTAGCAGCTGGCGTGGTAGACATGGTTCTTTTTATTAACTGAGTTAAACAAAATGACTCAAAATGGCGTTAGGAGCTCCAAGTTATGGGCTAGTAGATTAAAAATTGCATCCACGAGGTGGCCAAATTCACAGACGTTTGTATGGTGGGCCATAGTATGGGGGCAGAAACTTGATTCTCACCATAAAAACGTCGGTAAAATTTCGCCGGCCAGTGGGACAGGATTTTTTTAACATTTATTCTTAACGAAGGGTGCGGACAGAGGTCCATTTGTGAATTACCCATGTACAACAAGCTCCCCTCCCCACTTGCCTGCTTTGAAGCTCCCTCGAAGCCTACTCCCCGTACTCCCCATGGGCCATAATATTCGATTTTTTCCCATAAGCCCATGTGGGCTGTGGTGGAAAGAACATGGCGTCCCGAGGATGGTCTGCGATGGTTAGAAGGCTGCAGACAACGCGATGTATTCGAGGAACATCGCCTTTGGGAGGTGGAAATTACTCTGCAGCAAAAGAAATAGGTAGCAAAGTTTACAGGAGATCATTCATGACATCCCTTTTTCGTCATGGTAAGGCGATCACACATCTCAGAAAAGTCAGAAAACGACAAATATCGTAGGCTTCCAAAAATAACCGTAAAAACGTATGATGTGGGCTGTAAAATAAGGCTAAAATAAACCTCACTGTGATCGCTGTATTCTGGGGGAGGAAAAGACCACTGTCATTTTTTCAGCTGGTTGGGCTTGATCGATTCAGTATTAAAGGAGGAATCAAAAGCATAGACTTCCAAATCCACTGTTGCATAAGCGTGAGTGTTACTTGTTGTTCTTTGGGTAGAGGATGATCTTTGGTCATATGGCGATTTATTAGTGGGGTTACTTAGATTTAAATGTGATTTCCGCGATGCTCCTGTGTTGTCCAAAAATAGACTCCAATGGAGTTGGGGATGTGGGGGAGTGTTGGGCTATACTAGGCCTTTTTTGCTGGGGTATTGGCTTAAGAGTTTTAATTGCATCAGGGTATGGGCTTTTTCCTTCACACGACCAAAGACTAGGTTTGTGTCACATCAATCAAACAAACTTGTCAAATGTAGATTATTGTTATCAACATGGTAAGGGTTTGATGTCCAGAGTAGAATGCACACACCAAAACTTGGGTTGAGAATACTATTATTATTATTAATAGTGATATTATTATTATGTACACCCAGGGAACTATTTCAGTGACAGATCAAACCTTTTATTTTACTACAAGATGAGACTTTGACTGTTTGTTCTAGCTGCAGCATCCTTTTCTCTCTTTTCATGTTTGTTCTTTTATCCATCCCTGGAAAAAGAAAACAAAAAACAAGGAAGAGAGCAAAAAAATTTGTATACCTTGTTTCTTAAATGGTGACAAAATAATGTAGTTATTTCTTCTTTCATCTTGATGATTGGCTTTTGATTCCTCCATGCAAGGCTAAAGGTCTCATATTGAAATTGTATGATCAAGGCAAAGAGCAATCATTATAAATATGAAAGAATATTTGAATTGCCACCAGTTTGAAATGATAAGGTGTATTAGGTGATAACATTATTATATTACATACAAGTATTCATGAAGCTTGTTATTTATGATTTTTCAAGGTGTCCCAACGACACAAATCCTCATGCCAGCTCTATCACCCACAATGGAGGAAGGAACTATTGTTAAGTGGCTAAAAAAGGAAGGTGACAATGTCTCCCCAGGGGATGTACTTTGTGAGATTGAAACTGATAAGGCTACAATCTCCATGGATACTGAAGAGGAAGGAATTTTGGCAAAGATAATAGTCCCAGAGGGAAGCACAAATGTAAAGATAAATAAACTGATTGCACTGATGGTGGAGGAGGGTGTGGACTATACACAGGTTGAAGTTCCAATAGATACAGGTACAAGACCTTCAATTTACACCCTTTATTACAGAATTTATGTGTGCTTTACTCCCGTTATGAAAATTTGTGGATCCTCTTAAGCCTCGTGATTCAAACAAACAAAAATGTTTTGAGTTAATGTTAGTTAAAAGTCTCTGACAGGAGACTGAAAGACTGACTTGGCTTATTGTCATAGTACTAATTAATGATTAATTAACTTATTGATGGAAAAAAAAAATAAAAGAATTGTTTCGGTGAGGCTGCCTTTAGTTTAAACACTGAGTATCGGATTGCATTGGTGACAATAACCCTATAGAGTTCTTAGAAAAGAGAGTCTATTGCAGTCAACCCTGACACTTGTAATGTTATTATGTTTCATTTGAAAAACAAACAAAATTGTTCTATCAAGCACTTATATTAACCATTCGTTCTCTTAAGATGAGTCAGACAAAACAGAAGTTTCTTCAGATCAGAGCAGCAGTACTGGTCACAGTGACACCACTGTGCTGATATCACCAGCTGTTAGACTACTTCTTGAGACATATCAGCTGAACCCTGGACTCATCCCAGCCACTGGTCCAAAAGGAAGACTGCTCAAGGGTGACGTGTTGAGGTTTGTGGTTCAAGGAGGAAAGCCCTTCACAAAACCAGAAGAAGCTAAGATTCCTACGCAAGCTGCCCCACCATCAGAAAAATATGTTCAGTCAGCTTTGCCTCAGCCAACAGCTCCACCCCAAAAAACTAAACCCTCAACTCAGACAAGAAGTAGGTACACTGTTTTCTCTTTAAGAAGGGTGTGACTATTTTGGCTCCATTAGATATGAAATAAACCGTCAGTCTATGGCCCATTTGTCTCTTTATGATGCATAATTAGGGGTATAGAATGGTAAATTTAAGACTGCAAGACCCCGCTTTCAAAATTAGAGACTTAAGAAAACAAGACTTGGAGACCTATCAGAAATGCTCCCAAGATTTTGAGATTGGCTCCAAATTTTCGGAAGGCCCTCGAATGTTGAGGAACCATTCTTTACCCCTTGCATTGATGGGCAATATGTACCTTTACAATGAGTCAAGAGTAGCTACAGGTCTCTAGGGCCTTAGGGCACCATGACATTTTGGATCTTTGTTAATCTAATAAGAATGCTAGCTACATATACTGCACCTGCTCCATGCAGAACACACTTAGGAGGGACTACTGTGATTAAAGATTAAAGGAGGTGCATAGGTGGGGTTGGAAAAATATTAATATTTGAATTTTTGAGGGCCAGTGCAATAATTAGTTTTCTTTGAAGTTATAGGACCTTATTCGTTTCTTTAAGTTAACACCTTATTGTCTATGAGAACTGTAAAATTGTAGGGGTTGGAGTTGATTTGCATCTATGAATTGTCAATCCCTGGTTTTTAAGCCTTGTTGTTAAAAATATTTTTCACTACTTTAAAACTCAGTAGATTAATAATATTATTGCATTCTGTTTTGCAGACACAAAGCTTGTTTCACCAAAACCATCTGATGCAGTTGGCACAACAAAATACATTGACATACCTAACACAAGTATGAGGAGTACCATTGCTAAGAGACTTGCGGAATCTAAAGCTACTGTCCCACACACTTATGCTTCTACAAACTGTGTTATGAACAATCTTATTGAACTGAGAAAAGGTCTTGAGGTGAAGGTTTCTATAAATGATTTTGTTATCAAAGCAGCGGCCTTGGCTCTGAGGCAGGTTCCAGACATGAATGCCATCTGGGATGGAAAAGAGGCTCAGTTACTTAGTGATGTAGACATCTCTGTCGCTGTGGCAACTGACTCAGGGCTTATAACACCGATTGTTAAAACAGCGGATAATCTAAAAGTTGCAGAGATTTCTTCTGTTCTCAAGGTAATAATTCAGTAATAGAAGCATGTACATGATTTCTTGTAATTTTAGCTCTATGATTCATGCAAGGTGTCTTTAGAACTTTGCTTCCCTTTTAACTGCTGTAAGTGCACTGCCTTTTAAATAGGAATCAATCACAAAAATAGAACGTTTTCTCGACTTTATAAAGCCATAAAATTCATCTGTTAACCCTTTGGGCCCTTTCACAGGCCCAAATGACAGATTTCCCTACCCTTTCGTATGGTTGTTGTTTGTTCCCTCTGCACCCATTGTACCTCCGTCGAAATACAAGCGCGCGGAGGGGGGGTGGGGAGACTGCAAAGGGTTATACACCTGAAATGATTGTTTTTGCAATACCTGATATCAATCGTATCAGTACTCAAAAGATGGAGATAGGCTGCAGCTGTGTGGTAACCGTGTGGCTCAACGTTTCCTTTTATCAACTTTTAAAAAGGATTTTGTTTAAACCATTTACGATTTTCTATAGGCACTTTGTTCAGTAAGTTGTTAAGGAACATTTCAGTGAGAGGATGCAGTTTTTCTTGTCTAATTAAGCATTTTTCTTGCCCATACATTGTGGACCAATGTAGACTCCATGTTACTAGGAGGCAATAGATAAAACCAAATTATTCTTGGGTTGCACGTGACGTCACCAAAAATCAAACTAAGAAACTATCGATTCTTCTGAGTTTCTACTTTCACGAGGTATTACAGTACCTAAACACCTTTACATAAAATAATTTTTGGTTCGAAAGGGTTCTTCGTTTTGCGAGAGAGGACGCTTGAATTTCCAGGCTTTTGCGTGACGGGGCATTTAGCTGGCGGCCGGGAAAGCTCTTACGTGGGTTAAAAACATGACCGATTTTGGGAGATTTTGCAATCTAAACGTTCCTTGTCTCAGAATAAATATTACTGTAATCTGTATGAGTTCTTCAAGCGAAGAATTCACGCATTAGTAGGAAAACTCGAAAACAGATGTTTCTGTTGGTATCCGGCGGCCATATTGGTGTTCCTGAAAGGCACACCAACATGGCGTTTCCATACAAAGCTTTATAAATTTAGGTAAACCGTTTTTCCCAATATCTCGCATTTGAAATATTTCACAGACCTGATTCTTGGCAAGGGTTTTTGTATATTTATCTTTTTTTATTTCCCAGATTCTAGTCCTTCTGTATTGAATGGTTTGCATTTTTATTTTTCATTGCGTGACAGTGCAAGCCAAGAATACACGCTTTCAAGTTGTTTCCTTAACAGATTAAGTGTGAATGTTTGTTAGAATTCCATTTGGGCATCATAAGGGTTTTTTTTAGAAATTATTAATATTCCTTCCCTTCCCCTTTTGCCACCCTCTTTTGCACATGTTTGCACTCTGTGCTTCCATACCCCAGGAAACATTGTTTTGCTTTCAGTCTACAAATTAATAAGCCTCTATTTTTTTTCCAGGACCTGGCAAGCCGCGCTAGAGAAGGCAAGTTAAAATTGCATGAGTTCCAAGGTGGCTCCTTCACTATTTCCAACCTTGGAATGTTTGGTATCACTGAGTTTTCTGCAGTCATTAATCCACCACAGGCTTGCATTATGGCTGTGGGTGGTACCCATCCTGTGCTCACCGCAGTAGAGGAAATCCAAAGTGTGATGACAGTCACTTTGTCGTGTGATCGTAGGATGGTGGACGATGAATTAGCTGCCAGATGGCTAGAAAATTTCAAAAAGAACATAGAAAATCCATCTCGACTACTTCTGTAAAAATGTCAATATATTTTCTCTTGGGATTGTAAATCAAGGACAAAGACTGATAATAATGTGATCAGTTATTTGAAAGATTTTAAAAGTGAGGAGCAGTCAAAATCAGACACTATCAAATAAGACTGTTAAGCTCAGGTTTTAGGATAATAAAATATTCTATTTCATATTCTATTTCAAGAGTATTTTTCGGTCTCTATCCTATGTTATGACTAACTATAATTTTCATTTAAAGAAAGGTCTCATGTAAAGTACAGTGTAACAGTATTACAAAATGGAAAAGATCACACCAACACTGATTTTAGAATAACAGTTACTAATAATCCTTTTATGACATTCAAAATAAATGACAAAAGTGTCCTTAAACACGGTCAGTAGTTGAACAACACCTATAAGGAGACATTGGCAAAATTCTAAGAAACTGTTAGAAAGACAACTTTCCAAGATGAATCATGCATTTTGTGACTAAGGATAAAAAAAAATACAAAACTTATTTGACCCCATCCCCTTAGGCATGCCACGTTGTCAAAAAGATCCTGCAACATAATTAAAATCAAAGCGCTTATTGGTTTAAAATTTTACCAGAGTTTAAAATGATTGCTTTTGTTGAGCGGTCACGTCCATAGGACAACTGCGATCGACTTGAGTTAAGGTTTTATGTATTTATCTACAAGGATGTGTTACGCCAGCCTGTGAACAGGTTTTCCATATCAGGATCAGGTGAGAAAATCAGGCAGAGAAACTGGAGAATTTTATTCAAAGGCTGGTATTAAGCTTGCATTTTGCTCTGGGTGAATTCTAAAAATCTGAGACCACTCAAATAGTTATCTAGACTTGCGGAATCTAAAGCTACTGTCCCACACACTTATGCTTCTACAAACTGTGTTATGAACAATCTTATTGAACTGAGAAAAGGTCTTGAGGTGAAGGTTTCTATAAATGATTTTGTTATCAAAGCAGCGGCCTTGGCTCTGAGGCAGGTTCCAGACATGAATGCCATCTGGGATGGAAAAGAGGCTCAGTTACTTAGTGATGTAGACATCTCTGTCGCTGTGGCAACTGACTCAGGGCTTATAACACCGATTGTTAAAACAGCGGATAATCTAAAAGTTGCAGAGATTTCTTCTGTTCTCAAGGTAATAATTCAGTAATAGAAGCATGTACATGATTTCTTGTAATTTTAGCTCTATGATTCATGCAAGGTGTCTTTAGAACTTTGCTTCCCTTTTAACTGCTGTAAGTGCACTGCCTTTTAAATAGGAATCAATCACAAAAATAGAACGTTTTCTCGACTTTATAAAGCCATAAAATTCATCTGTTAACCCTTTGGGCCCTTTCACAGGCCCAAATGACAGATTTCCCTACCCTTTCGTATGGTTGTTGTTTGTTCCCTCTGCACCCATTGTACCTCCGTCGAAATACAAGCGCGCGGAGGGGGGGTGGGGAGACTGCAAAGGGTTATACACCTGAAATGATTGTTTTTGCAATACCTGATATCAATCGTATCAGTACTCAAAAGATGGAGATAGGCTGCAGCTGTGTGGTAACCGTGTGGCTCAACGTTTCCTTTTATCAACTTTTAAAAAGGATTTTGTTTAAACCATTTACGATTTTCTATAGGCACTTTGTTCAGTAAGTTGTTAAGGAACATTTCAGTGAGAGGATGCAGTTTTTCTTGTCTAATTAAGCATTTTTCTTGCCCATACATTGTGGACCAATGTAGACTCCATGTTACTAGGAGGCAATAGATAAAACCAAATTATTCTTGGGTTGCACGTGACGTCACCAAAAATCAAACTAAGAAACTATCGATTCTTCTGAGTTTCTACTTTCACGAGGTATTACAGTACCTAAACACCTTTACATAAAATAATTTTTGGTTCGAAAGGGTTCTTCGTTTTGCGAGAGAGGACGCTTGAATTTCCAGGCTTTTGCGTGACGGGGCATTTAGCTGGCGGCCGGGAAAGCTCTTACGTGGGTTAAAAACATGACCGATTTTGGGAGATTTTGCAATCTAAACGTTCCTTGTCTCAGAATAAATATTACTGTAATCTGTATGAGTTCTTCAAGCGAAGAATTCACGCATTAGTAGGAAAACTCGAAAACAGATGTTTCTGTTGGTATCCGGCGGCCATATTGGTGTTCCTGAAAGGCACACCAACATGGCGTTTCCATACAAAGCTTTATAAATTTAGGTAAACCGTTTTTCCCAATATCTCGCATTTGAAATATTTCACAGACCTGATTCTTGGCAAGGGTTTTTGTATATTTATCTTTTTTTATTTCCCAGATTCTAGTCCTTCTGTATTGAATGGTTTGCATTTTTATTTTTCATTGCGTGACAGTGCAAGCCAAGAATACACGCTTTCAAGTTGTTTCCTTAACAGATTAAGTGTGAATGTTTGTTAGAATTCCATTTGGGCATCATAAGGGTTTTTTTTAGAAATTATTAATATTCCTTCCCTTCCCCTTTTGCCACCCTCTTTTGCACATGTTTGCACTCTGTGCTTCCATACCCCAGGAAACATTGTTTTGCTTTCAGTCTACAAATTAATAAGCCTCTATTTTTTTTCCAGGACCTGGCAAGCCGCGCTAGAGAAGGCAAGTTAAAATTGCATGAGTTCCAAGGTGGCTCCTTCACTATTTCCAACCTTGGAATGTTTGGTATCACTGAGTTTTCTGCAGTCATTAATCCACCACAGGCTTGCATTATGGCTGTGGGTGGTACCCATCCTGTGCTCACCGCAGTAGAGGAAATCCAAAGTGTGATGACAGTCACTTTGTCGTGTGATCGTAGGATGGTGGACGATGAATTAGCTGCCAGATGGCTAGAAAATTTCAAAAAGAACATAGAAAATCCATCTCGACTACTTCTGTAAAAATGTCAATATATTTTCTCTTGGGATTGTAAATCAAGGACAAAGACTGATAATAATGTGATCAGTTATTTGAAAGATTTTAAAAGTGAGGAGCAGTCAAAATCAGACACTATCAAATAAGACTGTTAAGCTCAGGTTTTAGGATAATAAAATATTCTATTTCATATTCTATTTCAAGAGTATTTTTCGGTCTCTATCCTATGTTATGACTAACTATAATTTTCATTTAAAGAAAGGTCTCATGTAAAGTACAGTGTAACAGTATTACAAAATGGAAAAGATCACACCAACACTGATTTTAGAATAACAGTTACTAATAATCCTTTTATGACATTCAAAATAAATGACAAAAGTGTCCTTAAACACGGTCAGTAGTTGAACAACACCTATAAGGAGACATTGGCAAAATTCTAAGAAACTGTTAGAAAGACAACTTTCCAAGATGAATCATGCATTTTGTGACTAAGGATAAAAAAAAATACAAAACTTATTTGACCCCATCCCCTTAGGCATGCCACGTTGTCAAAAAGATCCTGCAACATAATTAAAATCAAAGCGCTTATTGGTTTAAAATTTTACCAGAGTTTAAAATGATTGCTTTTGTTGAGCGGTCACGTCCATAGGACAACTGCGATCGACTTGAGTTAAGGTTTTATGTATTTATCTACAAGGATGTGTTACGCCAGCCTGTGAACAGGTTTTCCATATCAGGATCAGGTGAGAAAATCAGGCAGAGAAACTGGAGAATTTTATTCAAAGGCTGGTATTAAGCTTGCATTTTGCTCTGGGTGAATTCTAAAAATCTGAGACCACTCAAATAGTTATCAAGTAGTAGTTTTCTAAAGTACTATTTCTCATACTGTACAACGTGGTTCTAACTTTTGAGTTAACTGTGGATGAAATCCCACTTTACAATACTCAAGTGAAAGCTCCTGTTTAAGCTCTAGTCATGGTAGTTGTCGTTTCCCTTGCACCCCACAAGTCCTGAGACTCTACTCTGTAACAGTGGTATGGGTAACCGTCTGCGGTTCTTTAAAGGGTAGTCTTTTCCAACTGCCTCCGCACACGCATGCTCTGACCCATCTCTGCTCCCAGACCTTGGATGCAGCATGGTCACTGACACCATCCACAAGGGCTACACAGTTGCACCTGTTAATAGACAACACGTGATAAACTCGTGCAACCGAAATCCCTCCCTCGACAGTTGAGGCCACACCTATCCGGATATTTTTGAAAACGGAGCTTGTCCACACAAACGGCAAACGGTGTTTTCGGGCACCAAACTCGTAGATTTTCGAAAACTGTCCCCAGAGTGGAGTTTTTTGAAACGGAGGTGACATGGACCATACAGCGCATGCCCTGTAAGGGATGCTATTTTATTTCTGTTTTAGTGAGGACGGGCGAAAACGATTCGAATACGCTACGTGTGGACGCTATCTTTTCGAAAACGACAAATTAATCTCGTTTTCAAAAATATCCGAGGCCTTAGAGAGAAGACAAAGGTCACCGCCCCGCCCCCCCCCCTCCCCCCCTTCACTCGTTTCCCAGGCTACAACGTATCTCCACTTCCGCGGGGAGTATGAGGCAACGAGGGGACAAGGTTGAACATAACCCTCTACCGCAGTACCATAGGGAAAACTGCAAGAATTACATATACGACTCCTGAGAGTTTAACAGAAACGCCAGCAAATAAATCGTCTAATGCAGAATTTTCAACAGTCACAGGGACGAGAGCTATTCTTCGTCCATCGCATCCACAAAACTGACATGAATTTTACGACAGATCAGTGAAATACATGTAAAGCCTTTCAAAGTGACGCTGAAATTCTCCTTGGAGACGCAGTGAATATAAACTAACTAGTTATTTTCGAAAGCAAAAGATGTGGAACTTCGACTTGTTTGGAAGCACTCCATAGCGAGCTCTCCGACTTTTCACTTCGCGCGAGCTGTAGAATAATGATGACGTCACATTCGAAGTGATAATATGAGATAAAGCGAGATGCATCATGGGATACTATCCGATCGTCGTCTGGAGAAACACTAAGATGACAAAAGCGAACTGTTGGTTTTTGCTGTATGTGTAAAACAAAACGAGAGACAAGACCATGAACATTTTCCCCTTCAAGAGATTAAGAGGAAACAGTGCTTCCTTCTGTGCGAAAACGAACATGGATATCGTAATTTAACAAAATTAAAATGAAACGCACTACGCGATTTAACCCATAACCTACGGCGATGCAATTTGACACACATATTTGATAAACCAACTTGTAGAAATGCCAAAGAGCAGGTCCTTTCAAGAAAAACTTTTAAAAGGGCGCCATTAAATGACTCAGGACTTTCGTTTGTTTGTTTGCGGTTTTGTGCGTTTGATGATGGAACACTAACAAGGCTATACCTAATCACAACTTTGAGCCGAAAGTCCATTTGTTCGACGTCGTTTGCCCTGAAATTAAGTCGATTCGCCCCGATGACATACACACTTTACAGCACGGTGGACAGAGCTAACAGAGATCATATTTTAGTTAAGCTTGAATTGGTCAAAAGGTCCAGCGATCTAAAACATTAGCGACAAAGATAATCATATCTGAGATAGTAAACTCAAGTCTTCTGACATGCGTACTTCAGCTATCACAATGATCGCTAAAGTTCCAACGACTGAGCCACAACATACCTAGTACACTGTTTTAGCTTAGTCTCTGGTGATTTATCCAAAAAGATCCTCCTCACAACATCTATTGTATGTGAGCCATCAGCAGCTATCGGGAAAATGGCGGAGGCAAATGGGTGGAAGATCTGATTAGATGTGCACCACACCGGCTGGCTACCAAACTGATACAGCGCAGGTTTGATTTGTCCACTTACTGCTTTACCAGACACACCTGAAATCAAATTGAACACTCAGATGATAGCATCCTTCTATATGAACTGTCACAGAATGATCTCAAAAGACGTTACTTTAATTCTCAAACATCAATTTTCCTTTTTTAACATACTAAAAAAAAGTACTGGAATAAACTGGAAGGAAATATTGGATTCGATGCAACAGATAAAAGGATTAGGACTTCTTTTCAACAAATCAATGAAAACAAGAGACAAGTTTTCACTCTGAAACATAGAGGTCGGGCGGTTGTAAATACAGTTATATCTTTTTAACAGTATACCATTTTTTTTTTTTCAGCTAGACTTGCAAGCAAACTCTCTATTGCTGGCGGCTCTTTATTGTGTTGTTTTGCCTCTTCATACTTTATTATAACAGAAATATTTTCTATTCGGCTGAGCGCAGCGACAGAGAATAGAACATATCTTTTTGACAGTATACCAGTTTTGCTGTTTGCTACGAATCATGAGTGTTGTTGTTGCTATTATTATTATTGCTATTATTGTTATTGTTATTACGATGTACTTCTTTTTAAAAGGTATTACCTCTATTCAAATTTGGTATTTGCATATTCTGAAGAAACGGTGAGTTCGGGATAAGAGGAGCAGCTTCAGCTATAAAAGACAAATGGAGACAAAAGTGAATAAATGACACAGTTGTATGGACAACGGCAACAATAAAAACAACTCAATTCTGTAAGTGTAACGTACAGACGATGACTTTTAATTATAAGTATGCCTATGGAACACAGCGGAATTCTCGTAGTCTGACACAGTTAAAATCATCTTCACCACAAGTTTAGGCGACTGACAACATACCTGCCAACCTGTCCTCAACAACAGTATCTTGTTCATCTGTGCTTGCTTGTCTGCTCAGAAGCCAGATTTTTGTGAAGATCTTGAATAGCAACACCAGGGACTCGTTCTTGTCTGAAACATGGTATATAAAGGACATAAGCATTTGGCAATCACTAGTATGAAAACACCAAGGACGTTAGTTCTTGCCATGCTTATGTGGCAGTTTTGACCAGTGTGAAAGGTTTAAGCACAAAAACAAGGTCGACAAGCAATCATGTACTACCGTGACAGACTTAAGCAAGAGCTCTTTTCCAAAGTAAACACCCTTATAACGTGTCAGTCAAAAATAAAGAAAAAGAGCGCCGAGCGAAAGCGTGAACATATACGCCCACGTTAAGTTTCTTATATTGTACTTGCGTCATTTTGTCTTTTATTGTCTGCTTGAACCAGCATTCAGCTTAAGTCGCCAAACAAAACAAGACCTATTACCTAGTTAAATTTAGGCTGCTCGCAGCTTCTCCCCTCTATCTCTCAAAGGCAACCTAAAGAAACGCCGTTCCTTCCTATCTCCTAACAAACGCGTCTAGTTTGCGTTTTCGTGCTGAGGAAGGTCTAAGTTAAATTGAGCAACGGCAAAATAAAAACTTAATTAAAACAAAGAACAAACAGACAAGTAGACAGACCGAAAACAAAACTTACCTGCTGATGGAGTGATTGTAGGTAGTATATTTGGAGTACTTTGACCCCAAATACGAATGAGAATCAGCATTTCACGTAATGTGCTCAAAGTGCTTGTGTCACGAACCAGGCTAACCTAAAACGGACACAAACCACATTGCGAAGTAAACCAAGTGAAAGAAGCGTTGACACCAGATATCATCAGTATTAACTGAATTGCCCGTGCACAGAGTACTCGCCGCAAATCGGATTAATCAGACATATCAAGTAAGCGCCTTGAAATATCTTTATGTGGCAAATTTGTCTTGCCACATAAAGTCGACACCAAACTACCAAAAACAGTTACAATTTTTTTTCAACATGCATCCATGCCATTACTGTCGATTTTTGGTGTAATTGAAAGTAACTTAACAGTACCTTCCATAAGTAGCTTTTCAACTAGACCTGCAAGCAATTTTCTCTAAATCCAACCCACTAAATTCAACCCCGGTCATACGAACACTTTTTATGCCCCCGGTGTCCGTATCAACTGGGTTTGACTGCATCTCTATTATGTCTTCCGTGACGCCTAATCGCAGGTTAACGCCGGTCCACCCCGTACATCAAACCCCATTACAGAATACTGCCATATCGAGAAAGGTTGTCAGAAAAAGTGCGCGCGACAATCCCGAAAGCTAATGTGGGTAGTTTTGAGTTCACTGTTCTTCAAAGAAACTTGAAAGAATGGCACGAGAGGCCATGGACTTATGTTTGCGAGTGCTAAAGGAATGTAACAAAAGTAGGCTCGACAGCTACAGTGTCGGGAAGTGTGTTGGTCATATCCCATATTACCTTTCGGGATTGTCGCGTGCACATTTTTTCCGACGACCTTTCTCGAAATATCTTGTCACTCTACTCACCCCTGCGGATTCCTTGTTATGATGGTTTGTAAATGTAACGACCACAAACATGGCAAGGTCAGTGAGCCATTGTATGAGAGGGAACATGGACAACACAGTTGCTTAAAGAACAAAATTCAGTAAGACGTTTGAGTGTTTATGCTACTCTATTTTCTCAACGCAATGCAAGTTACGACAGTAAAGTGAGAAACGACGAGCTAAAATACGACTGAGAAAACTGAGAGATGGCTGTCCATTAACCCTCTAAGCCCTAATATCCACATACAAATTCTCCTAACTGATCTCTATACATTTCTATATAGAAAAGTTGAGAGAGTTTGATAAAAGATCAAAGCATTGTTAATTCTCACAACCTATTTTCTTGATTGGGTATTGATATTGTTAAGGAGAAAATTGATGTTTGTCACTCTCGGGACTTAAAGGGTTCTAAGACTTCGCCAAAAATTATTGGTTACTTCTATTATTGTTACAAAGTGCAGATTGAAAATCTGCTACCGCAAAAAATTTAGGCTTCTGGGAAACTGCCCACCTACCCCTCCCCTAAGCCATCATTTTGACCTAAGTGAGAAGTACGTGTTATTAGGGAGCTTAAGCAACAGCGTTTTTGAGCGACGGACGTCAACCGGAAGTGGACTTTTTATATCACTGGGCACTGGTTTGTGTGAAACACTCGGGTAAATCGTCTTTTTAAGAGAAAAGAAACTTAGCAATACAGATTTGTTAGCGTCAAGGCATATAAAAAGGAAGAAAGGCTTACTTCCGGTTGACGTGCGTCGCTCAAAAACGTCTTTTCTTAAGCTCGCTAATGTCATCTTAGGGGAGGGGTAGGTGGGCAGTTTCCCAGCAGGTAATATGAGAAGGGGATGCCCATATCACCTCTCAAAATGTTTCGCCGAATCTTACTATATCAGGAAATCAACAGGTCGGTACTCAATTCTAAACAACAGACCCCTACTTTAAATATTATTTTCCCAACCATACTGAAGAGTATTTTAATTTACTTAGTCTCTGTGGCTTACTGTTTTCTAGAGCTAATTCCCGTGTATCCAAAACTTGAATGACCTTGTCTACTTCCACATCCTGATTCGCTGACATCTCTTTAAAAAATTGAACAAAGAAAAGATTAACTTTAACTTAGGGAGCAAGCAAGAATGGCGCAGTGGTGAGATCATGAACTCGCCTAACACCACGGTGGCCCTGGTTAAAATCCATACCAGCCATATCTGGTTTGACTTCGTTGTTGGTTCTCTACTTCGCTCCTAGAGCTTTTTCTCCGGGTGCTGGAGTGTTCCTATCTCCTAAAAACCCAACATTTTCAAATTTCAATTCGACCAGGAATGATATGACGAAGAACCACTACGTGGATGTGCTACCTCTAAATCGTTATTTATTTAATTATTTATTAAACTAACTAAATTCGGGTTGATTAAGACAAGTCCTGTGCATGCCGGTGCTAGCTTTCACCAGAAAACGAGAAAGGTATTAAATCGCAAATCAAATTCATCTAGCAGAAAGTAAGTACGTCACTCCTTTTCTAAGTGTGGATCAGGAGTGTTGGGCCTACTTTTACTGTATGGTCAGATGTGAATTTGGGGGACAGAGATTTCGTGTCTGAGCCCCTGTGCAAAACGTTGTCAAAGTTTATGGTTGTGGATTTTCATTCTTGGCAGGTTGCAAGTAAGTCTACATCTCTTAAAAATCCAAATAACCTATTCCAGGCTCTCGGATAGTGGGGGCGTTTTCACGATTTCTGACTTCAGTATCTTGGAACCTGAAACAGGCTACAATCCACACAGACACTCAGCCATTCAAACAGCACTTGCCTTTAGAGAGCCGGGAAGTCACGTCATTCAATATGTCAGCAAAAGGAAAACTTACTAGCAAACTGGTCAGCGGCGCCGTGTGATGATCTAAGCAGGGACCTAAAGGTCGTTGCTATGGCAACAAGAAGCTGTCGAACATAACAGTCAACCGCCTGTCCTGCACCGTCTTTCATACACTTGTGGAGACTGGCCTTGATGGCTCTGAACCGGGAACAATGAATCTGCTGTTGAGCGATTTCCTGGATGCTGAATTCATCTGTTAGTTGTCTTGAAACCGCATCTAGTGTTTCTAAGTAATGCAACAACAGATTGCGTGACGTGAATAAAAGAATAAATCATAAACCGTAAACCGCCGCCGCTTATCAGCGGCTTATAAAGGGTTTTAGAAGGGCTTATAAACGGAGAGGTTTGACCACAGACGTATTTCCGGTCGTCGCTTCTCTCCCTCCGAAAATTATTCTTCGGAGGGAGAAAAGCGACCACCGGAAATACGTCTTCGGTCGCAGCCTATCCTCCTCTTTCTAAGGCCAATATTAACGCGCGGACCCCGAGGGTTGTGAAATTATTTTACAGAAAGTACGATTGGAAAGTGGAACACTGACAAGATTTTCAAAGTTTCATGCTTTTGTGCGTTTTTCTCTGGCTTGCCTCACTGAAACAAGCTGGTTTGTAAATGATTCGGGTTTGAAAAGATTTCTTTCCCATACTACAGACAAAGTGTAGCTGCAAGCAAGCAACCATACTGAAATGAATCTCAATCTCGATGTCGAATTAAAAGAGAGAGAGATTGAGATTGATTTTCAATTTTAGACACATCGTAGAGTCAGTTATATGTTCAGATACCCGGACTGTGGTATCAAGTGATTTTCGCATAAATTCTTTGCGCTCTGAGGGCCTGTTTATATGGAGGTGGGGCACCCATGCAAACAGGCCCTAAAACTTCTAACAGTGAGGTATGGAGCACTTAAAAGCGTAAAGGTGCGATTTGGCCACACAAAAGAGAAACAGTAGAGAGATTCAGCTATTGTTAGTGTTACCCGCGCACTCCACGATGAAGAGTACTGCTGCGCGTTCATGGTAACCAACGATATGGTGGGGGCCCACAGGGCTGCCGACTGCGGGCAGGAGTTTTTAAGACAGGGCTGTATAGTGACTTCCACCGTTATGAATAAAAATAGGCCAGTTGGGGATATAAAAAGCCCACAAACTTTCTTCGACTGTAAGTTAATGTCACGAGATCAATAGCCATTTCTCCCGATGTCTGCTTTACTCAAGAAAGCGATAACAAAATCTGTAACCTGTTGGTGTTCCAAGGTGTGCCGCCATAAGTACATCCCACCACTCCCATCCCGTCAGAAGACAGTATTGCAGCAAGTCTGTCAGGCTGCGCTTGAGTCGCATCCCACCGTGAAATTCACTGTCTGTTGACAAATGTGATCACAGTTATTAAAAAATGACAGCCCGCGCATGTAGTAGGCGCTAGAAAGTAATATGCGGGAAAGAACGGGCCGCGCGACGACGTCGGAGATATGTATGTCTCCCTCAACCACCTCGTTGTTTCTTGCACCCATTACTTCCAAGCGCCTGCTAGGCTAACGCTCTGAAGCAGGAACGTTACATGTAGATTTGGCTGATGTATGTCTTATCCAGGCAAAATCGGCGCGTCAGACGCTTCCTTGAACTCCGCAACGGAAGTATTCGTGGATTACTACATCCTCACACCCATTATAAAATACCATTGTCTCTTACAAAAAAATCAATAATTAATTAATTAATTGAGTTATATGAAATAAAATGAAAAGATCAAATGCGCGTTTTGATGTGCAGAAAATCAATCACATAGTGCGAATACTATTAAAACGTTAAAAAGCACGAAATTCAAAAAGTTATGCAGTAGGTGAACAATGCTTTCTTCTTACGTGTTCGTGTTCTGTTGCTCACTCTTATGGCATATTCGATTGGTCGCATCAACTGTAGAACAGGAATACACTTCGATCTAGATTTTTCTACGCCGGTTAGTATCTCTCCTCAATTAATTGGGGATATGAACTAACAAACCTGCCTCCAATCAGGTCTCCTCAGTACCATCAACGTCCTTTAAATTCTCGAATCTGTGAAGTTCAAAATGATTGCAGCAATGTACCTAACTAAACAACCTCCCGTCCCCCTCCAGAATCATCAGATAGAGATCACTACAATTTACTGAGACTCAATTAATTAACACTTACCTTTGCCTGCCAGGTGATGCAGTTTGAACATGCGCACATCTCCGGTCATGGTAATTCCCATAAGGCAGCAACAACAAGGGGAATAACTGATGGCACCGAGGCATCCTGAGCTGTAGCTTGGTCCTAACGTGCGGGCTTTCTTGGCTGGGATACCTGTGGAAGGTTTAATTAGTTATTGACGGTTTGGAGCATGAAATATAGTTAACAGACCAACTATTAAAAAATTCTTATCGGTGGAAGAAGGTGACTGAGTGAAAAGGTAGCGGAGAGTTGAACAGATTGAGGCCCCGTCTACACGAAACCGATGTTTTTGAATCCGCAACTTTTTCTTTCTGGATTCAAAAATTTCTACGTCCACACGTATCCGTATTCAACTCGAATTCGCCCGTCCAGGGGTATCCGAAAGGTATTCGGATTCACTCTTGTACCCAGAATTCCTTTGGAAAAATTGGCAACGGAGCATGCATCTTGCTCTTCCTTGAGAGAACTTGGGACCGAGGTTGCCATCTTGAATACAGTATTCACGGTAAAAAACTGGGCCCAGTTGTTTGAAGGCCGATTAGCGCTGACCCTAACCTGAGAACAGGCCCAATTTGAGCGGTTCTCATACATTCTCTCTAACTGCTACCGCTGAAAAAGCGAAACGAAAATAGAGCCTGATCTCAGGTTACGCTAACCCAGGGTTAAATTTTAACCTGCGTTTCTTTTTCTTTGTTCAAAAGCATTTTCCCGGATGATTTTCTCGATTCTTTTTACAGCATCAAATCATCAAGTTGTAGACAAAAAGGATAAAACTGAATTTGCTTTTTAAGCTTTCATACCTGAACTGAAATTTTGCACTAACCCTGGGTTAACCCTGCTTTGAACAACCCGGCCCTAGGCTCGATCTTAATTGTTACGTCACTGGAAAAAAACATCCGGATTTACTGTCCACATGATTCCGGATTTATAGCGTATTCCAAAATTTCCACTCTGAAGAGCAGATTAAAAAAGTTGCGGATTCGTATGCCGGATTCACCGAATACGTGTGGACGGAAGCCGTATCCGAAAATGGAATTTCCGGCGTTTGAGTGGATACGAATTAGCCGGAAATGAAATATTTCTGCGGCACGGGAGCAGTGGGGACTGGGGCAGTTGAAGTGCAGTATGGGTAGAATGGAGCGCTATAAAAAGGATGCTTATCCTGTGGGAAAGCATCCTAGGCCGACACCTCGTCTAGCTCATGTTATTTTTTATTTATTTATTTATTTTAGTATATATTTGATTTACTAGTTGCAGTTCGATTTTTCCAGGGGTTTCTTAGCTTGTTTGCGTTTCCTTAAATTATTTAGAGTTTGCCGTCCTTTGTTGGAATACTTGTTTTGTAAATAAGGGCAAAGTCCTTCCAGCCGTGTAGCCTTCGTAGGATGGGCTTTTCAGAGCATGAGCCATGGATCCTACCCAGATTTCCTGCCTAGTTTTCTTCCTTGTTGAGGTTTTTTTCCGGCAGGTTTTTTCTGGCCTCTGTTCTGACAGTATTCTGTGTAAACTGTCGCTCAGCTCTGTTCTAGTTCTTACACCACATATTTGAATGTAATAGAAGTTGTTGTATAATGTATTGTTATATCTGCGGAGGTCGGCGGAACAGCCAAAATAAACCTAATGGTTTTTCTATTCATGTTGTACTGCGTAGTGTAGCCGAAATAGAAAAAGTTGCGGATTCAGTAATATCGGTCGGGGCCTGAAAGCGTTCCACGAAGTGGGTGCGTATAGATTAACATATGATCTGTACCTATATATGTAGTACCATCACTAATACCTACCCAAGTCAGCGTCAGAACTTTGAGGTTTTGTGCGAAATGAACCAATCAGTTTCAGGCCAACACTGAAAGGTAGAAAGCATCAACAGTTTAGTAACAAACTCTCTTTCCGTCATCCGTGTGATGAGTAGGAACGTCAAGTGTGATCGTTTTACAGGCTGCTTGCTTTGTACTTTGAAAAAAGGAAATGCAAAATGAAATTTTAAGTGATAGACAGATAAACAGCTTTTTTAAAGTGATAGGTTTTTTAAGGCATGAATTAACAAAAACTAATGCCTTCGCTGTTATATATTATTCACCTTCACTCAAAGTCAGATTGCAGTAACGCTCTTACACTATCTCAAACTAATTCAGCCTAAGGCAAGTACATGTAAATTTAGTAAATGAATTGTGATAAAAGGTATCTTAGGCAGCGTTCAACCGGTGCCACTCTAGAATGATAAAATGGAGGGCTCCAACTCATTTATCAGGGCTCTAGAGCCACTTGGCTGTTATGCATGCATCAACCTGATTACTGTATGGCAATCAGGATTGCAGATGCTTTAAAATTTAATTCTGCCTGATGACTGACGAGCTTGAACAAGCGTTCATGTTATTCACTACACAGCACAACCAGTCAGATATTGCCATTAAAGTGTTCTCTTAAACCAGGGGATGATTAGAAAAAACGTTTTTGACTATTCCAGTGACTAAAGTGTACGACTTAAAATCTTATCTTATACCTACTGCAGTTACTGACTGTAAAATTAAACTAAAACACTACCTGGTCAACATTTGAAGCTTATCATCGTCATATTGAACCAGCAAGATTGATGCAGGGTATGTTAAGACGTTACTGATGGGTGAGAAATCTATTTTAGGCGTTGGTAACCGCGGGAGGCACAGTGATACGATATTGGCAGGATCTTTATACGTGTTAATGATGGTCCATTCCTGGAATGAGATACGGTACAAATACAGAAAGATCATGAGAATTATATTATTACATAACATAAGGCTGCGTGCAAACGGACGCAACATTGTTGATCAACAACTCCCAGGACTGTTGGATGTTACATCTTGCGTCCGTTTGCACACCCTGTTGCATGTTGTTGAATGTTGTTGCGTGTTGTTGCGCAAAATTTCTTTTGTTCCGTGATCGCCAAAGGAGAGCAACAATGTTGGATCCGTTTGCACAGCTCTTCCAACATTGTTGGAACCACGCACGCTCATTACGCATGGTTTACAAAGAGTTATGGGTTGTATCATTCCACGATGCACTGCAGGTACCAACATTGTTGGGAGTTGTTGCATCCGTATGCAGACCACTGCCAACACGCACGCAACATGCGTCCGTTTGCACGCAGCCAAATGTTACAAAATAAATTCTTTCGAAATTCAAACACCCTTTTGCGCAGGGTGTGATGGGAGGGAGGAATAGGAAGGCGATTGGGGACAAGTCACTGAAGTTAACATGACGATCATTTATTATAACATATTCTCTGAACAACTTCTTCCCAAGGATACATGGGCGGAAGAACACGTTTTCTTCTCTGGAGTAAGACATGCAGCCGAGAGCAAATTTAGTGAGGAAAAAACCTGTCACCCAAACAGCCTCATTGGTCACAAGTAAATATGATTGTTGCTGCATTTACTTACATATACTGGTACACTGTAGTTTGGCATGCTCGGATGTAAATGACCAGCGGTTTTCTGTTGGAATCTCTCATGTATCTGTTTTTCACTTTTCTTCATTTCCCACCGTTTCACGCAACTCCCACTTTTTCCTAATGATTAAAAAACAAGTCAAGAAAGAAAAAGTGAGAACGAAGACGACGCCTTTTTTTCAGTTCCCATTGATTTGATTGCGTACAAGCATAATAGCCGCATACATTATGTTTGTATGGCTGCGTACAAGCATAATGCGGCTGGGGCTATTCATCTAGTCCCAGATGCTTGTAAATTGAATAATGCTGTTGATAAATCTCTCTCCAGTGGATAGGACAATTGGTTTTCCTAACTTAATACTTATCCGCTAGAGAGTGATTCATCCGCGCTATGAATTATATGCCCAACCGGTTTATCAAGACTCAATAAAACTTTTGGTGTGTTCAGATTATTTGTTCCTATTGTCACCACAAACCACTGAAAAAGGTCAAGAAAGCTGATACCCCTTCGTAGGCTCTATTCCCGTTACACGTTGGTAATCCCTATAATAAAAGCAAGCTATTAGTATGAAGTTATTCGTACCAAAATGACGGGAAGCTAAGGTATCTAAGTTTCAGAATGGCTACGTTTACATTTCAGAAGATTTTAAGGGAACCGCTTTGCCCTTTACACCCAAATGCATTAATTCTAAATAAAAACATTCCGGTTTGTGTCGCGTGTCCAGAGACTTTGAATCGGGAAACTAAAGTGAATGCATATCACACTCACCAAACGTGCAAACTAAGACTCCTTCTCCAGAGTTCTTGGATAAGAACTGGATGTTACTCACACGGTATTCTGCAACTGAAAAAAGAAGGAACTAACTGAGATATCAAATTCTTCTTTAAAAAATCACCCATTAACATAGCGAAGCTGACAGAAGATGACTAAACCAAAAACAGCTAAAAGTAGGCAAATATAGTTATCCGAAAACGTGTACACTGACTCATTACTGTGATGCCTACTACATCTCCCATAGGACAACGTTACTCACTTAAAATGTTTGCATCAGCTGCATGAAACCCTCGTTGAAAGTTGTACCAGAAAGTTGTCCGGTTGAAAAAAAAGACCTTTAAATTCGAGGACGATGACAACCGCCAGGAAGAAGTTTGACTTAAAGTGTTTTTTCGTGTATTCTCAAAAAATAGACATCCCAGGGACAGTCATTTTACTTTTGTTCTCAAGAAAACTGAGCACGGTTATTTTTATTGGAGGAGGTTAAGACCTCCCATGAATGCATAATGATAAAACTTGTAACGTTTGATAACTCATTTTTCCGCCACTGCAACCCGTGGTAGAAAGACGACGGATAACGCGTTTTCCCGCCAAAATGGCGCAGGTTGACACGCGTGCTCTGCTAAAAATCTAGACCTCGTAGAGTGTTCCTCGTTTTAGAATGTAAAGTTTTCCGATAAATAAGTAAATACATAACGACTTTTACTAGGACTAGAATTGCAGGTCAGAAAACGAAACCCCATTCAAGTGGAATTTAAAACAAAACGGTAAAGAAATTTTAACTGTCTTCTAAAGGAAAATAAATTACTTACAGTCTTGCTCACTGTGAGAATGAGGAAACAAACAGGGAAGAGGATCAGAGGTGATCTGGCAGCCGTCTGAAAAAAAACAACATTGTGAACCACGAACAGTCTTCACTATGTAGATTTATGATGAACAGTTTATAGACTTTGGCTTATAGAATTTGGCTTATGTTGAACTTTTCCACTTGTCATCCTGATTACTAGGCAGAGAGCGCGAACACTGGCTGAGGGGGCCGTTCGCCAGGAAAGTTTGGCTGTGAATTCAGGTTCGAATGAGTGGCCTGCCTCCACCCGTTCAGCAGTCTAGAGAACCATTGTTCCGTTCGTTTCTAAGGTCAATTAATAGATCACCTAGGGCTGACTTCACTATGTAGATTTGCTCCAGGAAAATACTCTGCATACCACGCTTTATCAACCTCTACTACTTTTTACTACTGTAAATCCTCTATTCAGCCCCCCTCTCCCCCTCTCTGATAAGCCCCCCTTTTTTCAGGGGAAGAAAGTTATTAAGTCCCCCTCTCTTTAAGTCCACCTCCCTTCCGTCCTTGTTCTTCACAACCAAATTATTAAAAGCTAGAATGACCCGGTATGGTTTATTCATGTCCTGTAAGTTTGGATTTGTTTTGATCTTCGGCTGCAATACTCCCAACGTCATGTTCGTCATGCTTTTCCACTTTGAACCCTAGTTCTTTACGGAGAATTGATACCATCTTCCGGTTGCTTTAAAATCAGTAGAGCGCCCCGTATTGATAAGTGTACTTTAATTTGCTGATACGGGGCGCTCTATTGCTCTTTCAACCAACGAAATCCCCTCTCAAATAAACCCCCCTCTCTATTAAGCCCCTTCCCCCTTCAACGTGCTTGAAATAAAAAAGCCTTCCCGAAGGATACTTGATAGGGAATTTACGGTATTCGATTTCAAGTCTCACAGCCCACCTAGATTAGTTTTAGCTATTTTGTGGGCTAGTGATGTTTCGTGCAATTAATTTTTATTTGTGAATCGAAACTTAAAACTTGAACTACAAAACGATTTCTTGTTTGCTGCCCTTCCCTCATCCTTTTAAAAAAAATACTACCATCTGACTGTTCTTTAATTACGGGGTGCTTGCAAGCTTTTGACTGTGGGGATTAGAACTAACCTTATCAAGAGGGGGCAACACTTGACTTTTTCAAGAACTGATAAGCATCTGGCCCTTTAAAAGCTCCCAGCTAACTGGAGACACTTTGAAGATCGAATTTCAATTTAGACATGTTGGTTTTGAGGAGTGACAAAAACTGGAGTTCTCGTGGAAATGTCTTCTTGGAGCAGAGAAAGGGGGAGCAAGCAGGGTAGGGGTAGAAAAGGGTCACACCCTTTTTCCTTATCATAAACCTGCACCTCTTGATTTGCAGGGTACTGTACAGTGTGGCTTTAACGAAGTTTGAGACTTCTCCTCCTTACTTAATACTTGATATGGTGTTGATATAACGGTTTATTTTAGTAACTTTTAAATACCTGGACCACCAGATAAAGAAACTCTGTAGAACTGTACCGCACTGCATAATTCACCGTCGTTTGCAACCACAATCACTTTGCCCTCTAAAAGAAGATTTTTACCAAAAAAGTCACTTTAACATTCTTTAAATTAAGTATATGCTAGCAAAGTCTCCTTTTCCACTACACATTTTTGGACAAGAAAAGGGTTAATAAAATTAAAGCCAGAAAATTAACGGAAAAGAAATGCAGTAAGACGACAAATTTGATTCTGATTCTGGCCTCCTCACTATCATCTTAGTATAGATTAGAGCAGAAAAGTTCTAACTCAGATAAAATTACTTTGGGGTTCATTGCTTAACTGTTTGATCATGAAAATAAGTTTTTAAAATCACCCAAGGCAACAAAACATGTATGTTACACTCTATTGCCAAGGTTATATCAGAGCTCCAAAAAAAGCTTAAAATCCAGCTTGTCCTTTACACAAGCATCTCTCACATTTTTGCTTTGCCATGGAGGGTCACTGCATACTTGCCTTACACATAAGTGTACCTAATGATTTAGTTACCAGATGACTTGCCTGGGGCCATTTTCTAGAAAGGCCAAGTAACTTTTTGGGCCCAAACTGAAAGGCAAATTTTAAAACCAAAACTTGTTTATTAGTAGCACGGTTCCTAGCTCAGAAACTGGTCAATTTTGCTTCATTATTTGATAATTTCATTGTATCATTTTCAAAATTATTGAAAGTTTGATTTTGAACGCAAACACCCCAAAATTGAAACAGTTTTTAGGGCCCGAAAAGTTACTAGCAAGAAACTGGCGCCTGGACCCTTGTCTGTTGGACAAGTGAGGTTAGAAATAATTATTATGCCCAAAATGACAATCTACTGGTCCAGGACAAGGGAACAGGACTTTCTTGAAGCCCTGAGTGTCCTGAAAAATAGTCAATGTACAGTGTATACAGTACTAATGCAGCATACAGGTAATCATGTGGCTTAGGGTAAAGACTTAAAACAGAATCCATCAGGAAATTGAGGAATTTTAATTATTAGTGGACAAAAACCTTGTACCAGAACAATTTAAACAACACTGCATTCTTTTAATAACACCAACGACTACTTCTCATGGGAGCCCAAAAAAATATATGTCAAATTTCACAAGAATTGTGAAAACATAGGTAAAATTCTAAAAATGTCATGTGTAAGATGTCATTTTGTGAAATTTGGCATTCATTTTTTTTCGGGCTCTCATAAGAAATTTTCTTTGGTGTTATTACATCTATAGCCCTTGAAAAGTGCAAAAAAGAATGCAATAATTTTAAATTATTCTGGTACAAGGTTTTTGTCCACTGAAAATTGAACTTACTCAATTTCCTGATGAACTCTGTCTTAATATCACTCAGACTGCTAACATCTGGCATTAAAGAGTTTGAATGGGCTGGAAGCAAAGCATCAGTTATTATGACTGATGCTAAGATTTATGCGACTGAACCCTGCAGTGTGTACATTAAATAAAGTATAATTATGATAAAGGGGTATAGGAGATAAAAGCTAAACAAATTAAAGTGGTAACCAGTGTCTGATCTAGAGCATGCCATTGCGGATTGCCACCGTTTGAGCAAAGATGTCTCCATCAAAAATCTGTTCTGGGTCATTTTGACGCACTTCAAATTGTCTTTCAAAAGAAAAAGACACAAGAAAATGTAATTTCTCCTTGTGCAAAGTCGTTTTCAAACAATATTTTGGTGTAAATTTTAGAAGATTAAAAGTAAAGCAAGAACCAAAATTCAGAGAATATGACATTTGTTGGTAACATATTCACCCAGTACATAAAAATAAAAA